TGAAACTTCCCACACTTACTGCATGCTTGATTACTAGCAGCACCGGAAGTAGGAGTAGAGGTTGCTGGACTCCTGTAAGACCCCTGACTCCCACTCTGATTCCCTCTGTAGCTTTGGCCTTTATGGTAGCAGCCCTTCTTCTTCTGATTTCTAAAGCCTCCAAAGATTTGACTGCTCCTCTTCTCTACTCCACCAATGGGTCTGGTGTGGATAGGGGGCTTCCCATGAGGTTCTTTCCTCCTCTCTCTATCAGCTTCTAATCTAGCCTCTCTCTTCCTCCGAGAAACTATTCGAAGCTTATTGCACATCTCACTGAATGTCTTGATCTCAAAAGGGGCTAACTGTTCCCTTAGATCAGGCCTCGCCTTCTCTAACAATCGTTCAGCCATCCACTCCGTGTCTTCATGTTTCTGGAGGTAAGTAGAGTATTTAGATAATTCTGAGAATTGTTCAATAAATTCATCCTCATCTAGATCACCCTGGCGGAATGCATGAAACTCAGCCTCCTTTTCTGCTCTCAGTGCAGTAGGAAAATAATTCTCGAACAATATGGCTTTAAAATCTTCCCAAGTAAGAAGGAATCATCCTTCGGTCCTGATATTTCCCACCATTTCTTAGCACTCTTCTGTAGTAGGAATATTGCCAGCTGCACCTTTTGATTAGAAGTGCACACAACCATACGAAAAATACTCTCCAATTGATCTATCCATTCTTCAACCACCGCTGGCTTAAGATTTCCATCGAAAGTAGGAGGATTAAACTTATGAAAAGTACTCCAGATCTTTGTGATCATGGATGTCTGTTGGTCAAAGTGGAGACTCACATTCTTCGGACTAGTCTCATGGTGAGAATAGGGAGGTGAGCCTTCATCAGCAGATTGGCTCGCATTAAATACCTTGGTATGGCTTCCTTCTTGTTGGCCATTTCCCTCTCAGTTGGAATTCTCCTTATATTGTTTTAAAGCGGCCAACTCTTCTTCTTGTCTCTTCATGCGGTCGCTAAGATTATATAGTAGATCCATCATTTGCCTCATGGTTGGCTCATCCTGCCTTAGTTGTGACTGTATGGGCTCGCCCTGCCCAATTTGTTGTTGTGTGGGCTCCGGTTGTGGCAGTGAAGGTATGTCATTTCCTATTGGCTCTATAGAATCACCGGCAATTTCACCACCTTTCCTAGTTTTGGACACCATCTCTCCCCTCCTAAAGGATGGAAGTCACATAATTAAGTTAACACTAATCTCAAGACAAGAAAAAATAATGGAGAAGTATTATGATTTAATAATGTATATTGCCAATAAACTAAGTTAATGTATAACAATTTCATAATTTATAAGAATTGGAACCATGTAGCTCTGATACCAAAAAATTGTAAGACACCAAATTTTTTTTTTAATAATTTAAATCAACCATAGTTGGGTTACAGCCACCCAACACATTTTTATATCAATAATTTCAATATAAAATATTTTATAATTGGCTTCAACTCACACACTATAACATTTCAGATAAATTTTTACCTCCCACATGCCATTAGGCTAAATCACATTTGTCCATCCTTATACTCCCAAAAAGTAAAATAAGCAATTTAGTAAATTTTCAACACAAGCCAATTATTTGGCCTTATAATTATGCCATTTTAACCAATCCAAAGTAAACCAAATATTAAAATTACAGTCATCCAAATTGTACCAAAAATAGAAATAGTTTGAAAGGCATGATTGCATTTATATATTCATATAATTGACAATAAACAAAAAGCCCTAATATTGGCAATATAACACATTATAAATCATAAATTAAATACCCAAAAGAGACAATGGATCTATACCACTAAGCCTCTGGGACTCCTCCACGTGTCACTCGTGGCTCTTCTCCTGAAAATTGTTAACCACATAATGAGACTCAAAAGTCTCAGTAACCAAAGCCAATTTATGATAGTGTATACAAACAGTTAAGTGTGTGTTTACTAAGTGAGAATTAAAAATAATATAATTCCAATAAATATAAGAAATAATACAATACACACAAACAACCATCCTTATATCCCTCCATTAACCTCGAGCCGTAGCCCTCACTCGGTGCTAAATTACCCGGCCAAAGGTAGATTAGCCCGAGCCCTTACAAGCCACCTATTGAGCTCCAATAGGGGCGTACCACGTGGCACGTAAATACAACAATAATAGCAAGTCTCCAAACACCTCCCACAATAATTAAACAAATTCATAATAATCTTGCACAATTATACAATATTACAAAATTCATAATTTTCTCAATAATCACCCAATTAATAAGAAGTAACACTAATCACAAATTAAAAGCATGGTTACCTCGTGGCTTTTTCAATAAATTATTCCTTAAAATTTCTCTCTCACCACAATCTTCACCAGTAATATAATCTACAAATAACATATTATTTATAAATATTAGTTTCAATTTTTGAAACTAATAAAATAATTCCAAAATATAACATAATTTCTAATCTCAATCTTAATACAAATCTAGAGTCAATACTATTAAGTAAAATTTTTAACTCCTATTTTAATTATCAATAAACATTAATAATCTAAAAATCAACTTCTAAACTAATTTTTATTATCAAAATTTTCTTTTTATTTCATAAATTCGTACCTAAAATACCCAAAAATTAAAAATTAAGTCTCTAGCTTAGAATCATAATCCTATAGCCATAATAATTCATTTCTCATCCCAAATAATCATCTAAACCTCAATAAATCAACATATATTTTCAGATCTAGTCTAGAATTTGATCCATAAGCCACAAATTCAAAGATCATCAATAAATTTATACTCTAGAACATTTATTATACTACTGACAACCTCAAAAATCATATTTATTCAACATAAATTCATCCCTCTTCCAGATCTTAAATTTTCTACCACTACAAACTCAGAAACTAAAGAAGAAGGATGACTAAGAAAAAATTTTAGAACACTTACTTAGTCTTGAAAAGCTTAAAATCACACCCTAAATATCCTATTAAAAATTCTTACCTTAAAAATTTAGATATTTTGCATCGGCGACTTGCTTCTCTCCGCCTCAGCTCGCGCGCAGGAAAAGAAGGAATGAAGAAATGAAGGAACAGGTGAGTTTTTATAAAAATTCAGTGGGTCCCACACATTTTTTTTATTCTTTTCTCTCTCTTCTTTCTTCTTCTTTTTTTTTATTATTATTTTACTATTGTTACTATTGAGGCGGCGGCCGAAGCAAACTTCTCTTTTTCTTCTTCTCTCTCTCTTTTTTTTTTGCATACCTTTTTTTTATAATAATAATTTAATAATATTTTTTTAATTAATTAATAATAATTTTTTTTAATTAATTTTTTTAAAAAAATTTAATTTAGAATTATATCCTAAGTTAGATTTAATGATCATTTTTTACTAATTTATTTACCTCTAAATATTTTTTTTTAAATTTCTATTAACCCAAATTAACTATTAAAATTTAAATTGGGATGTTACAGATTGCATTAAGATGCACGTTTATGTTCTCTCCTAAAGTCAAGAAAGGGTCATTTATATCCCTCAACTGCTAAGATTTTCAATTTCGTTAGTACTGTTTGTTGTATCAATTTTCACCATTAGTAAGACTCACATTTAATTTTTTTAATATTTTTAGTTGGTACCATCATTTTTAATATTTTTTTATAATTTAAAAAAAACACCCCTCTCTCCTCTCTCTCTCTCTCTTCCCCCTATTTCATGTCCTCTCATTCGCTTGTTCTTGAATTGAAGCAAGTAGAGTAGTAGTGGCAAAGCACCCAGCATGCCAATTGCAATCTTGTTATCATTGTGAATGGCTAGGTTGAAGAGTGCACTGCAAGCATGTTCCTATAATGGTTGGTGAAATTCTGGCACCATTTGGCAATGGCAAATTTAAGGGCAAGATTAGGAATTATGATAGAAAAATTGGGCTTGGAGCCATTTGAGAGCCATGTTGTGAAATTTAAATTTTAAGAAGTTCAAATAGAGACTTGCTTGAAGGAATAACCTAAACCTTGAGTAGAACTACTAAAAATATATAAAAAAAATGGTGGGATTCATTAAAAATATTAAAAAAATAAAAATGTTGAAATTTGATGGAATGGATAGCAGGGTGATAGAATAAAAAATTTTACCAATTGAAGGATATAAATGATTATTTTTTGATTTTAGAGGTAACCTTGGCCCTTTCTACTTAGTTGAGGGGCATTTTATACCCTTAATATTATAAAAAATTAGTTAGACTCACTAAAAATATTAAACAATTTAAAAGTGAGCTCCACTAACGGCGAAATTTGACAAAATGGGCAGCAGGGTGATGGAATCAAAAATCTTAGGAGTTAAGGGATATAAATAACCCTTTCTTAACTTTATGAGCAATCCTGCCCTTTTCGTTTAGTTAAGGGGCATTTTAGGCCTTTAACCCTTTATTTTATAATCAAATGATAAGAGAAAAATGCATACAAATTAACTAAATAGGTATAAAATATTAATAAATATAATCAAATATAATTTAAAATATATACCTATTTATATATAAAATACACAATTGTCAATCATCTTTTCATATTTACTCTTATTTAATATTATTTTTTAAAATAAATATAAATTAATTTATTTATTAAAGGAATTTTTAAAAAAATACATTAATTATATCTTGAAATACTAGAAATACATTATATTTTTTGTATTAAAAAATTTGGACTGATCATCACGTAATGAGCACCATGAGTATCAAAACTGGACACACATTTTTAAATGGAGGGGGTAATTAAATCATTAAAATAACTAAAAAATAAAATAACCTTTTAAATTTGCACCCATTTAAAAAAATAGCGAGTTTTAAAATGTTATAAACAGGGTATTTAAAAAAACTAATTAATTTTTAACCTTTTTATATTTTCGGGCCAAATTATAACCTTTTTATTTAAAGTTACCAATACACGTCACTGGAAGAAGGGTTTGTTCGCCATTCGTATCCTCTGTTATCAATCTGATTCATAATTTGAAGACACACTACATTATGATATTATCGCTTCCACCTGCATTAGTTACATTAACATTATTCCCATACTTATTGCTTTAAAAAATAATAATAATAACACATTATTCTATACGGGAACTGTTCTGCTACAAGAGGACTCTGCCCCACCATGGCCACCATCGTCTTCTTCATTCTCTCTGCTCAATTCCTCCAACGATTTCCCTTTAGATTCTGGAACCAAGAAAGTGAACAACATCCCCACCAAGTTAATCACACCTAGCATGATCAGAGCGTTCTTCATCCCAATCCCAGTTGGGTACCCTGCATCAGTCTTGCTTGGATCCTTGCTCTGTGCAGCATACAAGAATCCGAACGCCCCCACGATCGCTCCGGCCTTCCCGGAAGCCGACGACAACCCGTGACAGGTCGACCTGAACCTTGCCGGGAAGATCTCGGCTGGCACAACAAAAGTGGTGGTGTTGGGGCCGAAGTTGGCGAAGAAGAAGGTCAAACCGTACATCACAAGGAACCCTATTCTGTTCTCTCTTTTTGTCCAGTGATCGTAAGGAATCGCGAGGGCGAACATGAACACGGTCATGAAGAAGAAACCCATCATCTGGATGAAGAATCGCCCCAAGATATCTATGAAGGCCACCGTGAACCAGTATCCCGGCACGGTGCCGCACAGTGCGATGAGTACCTGTGCTCTTGCGACCCTGTAAACTTCTTGAATCGCGCTCATTTCTCCGGCGGAAGGAAGCCATCCGACGGCTGTGTAAATATCTTTCTGGAAAAGATTCGAACTGTAATATGCAATGTCGAGTAAGAACCATGCGGCACATGTTCCGAGCAAGTGAAGTCCATGTCTGCGAGCGAATTCCTTGCTGAACAAGCCGAAGCTGATTTGGTTTCTTGCAGATGGTTCAGGTTTTTCCTCTTTCTTAGTATGATCCGCTTTGATCTCGACTTGGAGCACTTTGGCCATGTCGAGAGCGGCCTGTTTCTCGTTCTTGGCTACCAGAGCGGTGTACCTTGCCGTCTCCGGCATCTTCGCTCGCGAGTAGAACGTCAGTGAGGCGGGGACGGCTCCGAACATGAGGATTACACGCCAAACGTAATCGGATTCAGGTGGCAGAGAAGCTGCCGGATTCACATTGTACGGCGGAGCCTTGTACACCCCGTCGAATGCAGCCGCGACGATCAGAGAAACTATCCCGCCGGCCAATATTCCAAATCCTGATTAAAAATAATTTATTTGTCGATGGTAAAGAAAAATTCTGGACAGAGTGAAAAAATATTAATTATTAACTTCAACAAACCTTGCATGGCGAAGACGGCGGCAATAAACGCTCCACGAGTCCTCTTATTGGCGTACTCCGACATGATGGTGGCGGAGAGAGGGTAGTCGCCGCCGATTCCGAAACCGAGCCAGAATCGGAAGAAACAGAGGGTGGTGATGACACTTTTCGCGGTGTGACCAAAAGACAGGCCAGAAGCAAGAGAAGAGACCACCATAAGAGCAAGAGTCATCCCGTACACTTTCTTCCTCCCCAGCTTGTCGCCGAGCCACCCGAAGAAAAGCTGACCGGCCAACGTCCCACAGAGAGCGACGCCATTCACGGCAGCCGACACAGTCGGCGGCAAAGTTCCCGGCTTCGCCGACCCTTGTTCAGTGTAGTATATCCTCCCCAGCAACTTGGTAACGTTGGGGATACTGAAAAGATCGTACGCGTCGGTGAAGAAGCCCATGCCGGCGACGACGATGGCCGTGAAGTGATACCATTGTGTCTTGGCGGCGTCGAGAGCATTAAGCACATTCTGATCACCCGCCATAGCCACAATGATCTATAGGGTTTCAGTGGAGAATTCAACGATCCTGGCCCACACAAGAACAAGCTAAGCTATGCAGCTATGCATCTCAATGTTGAACATATATAGACATTAGACAGAGACACTGGTTTGGCTGGTCTGATTTTGCTCGCATATTTTTCATGCGTATTTAGACTGTAATCTTTGATGGACGCACCAGATGCTTGTGGTTTTCTTTTTTTTTTTTACCCACCAGCTCCTGAGTTAAATATTATCATATTACATGTGTCTATGATTAGGAAATGACACGTAGGGTTTCTCAGACTTTTTTTTTGGTTATATAAGAAAAAATAAAAAAAATAAATGTATTATACACATGCTTTTTATTTTTTGGTTCAAAATGAACCCTTAAAAAGTTAAAATAAATGGATGGGTTGATTCCTATTTCCTCTTAAAGTTTTTTTTTTTGGGCCAAACACTATTCCTATTTCCCCTTAAGAATTATTATTCAATAATGCATAACTTCGAACAAATTATTTATGTCAAAAATGATACATATGGTCTCTTTTTTTTTTTGGTAAATAATGATGCATATGGTCTTTGATATAAGATGAACTTAACTAATTTCATTTTTTTTTTTGGTAAAAGGAACTTAACTAATCTCATGCTTATTAAGAAATGATGGATATACCTTAAAAATTATTCAAAAATATGTAACTTTATAATTTTATCCTTGTTTGCAATTAATAAACAATAATCATAATAAATTATTGTCCCGGAATCCAAATCATAATAAATGAATAGAAAAAATTTGAAAAATAAAATTAATTATTCTGACTTTGTCTAAAGTTAAAAACTTACCCTATATTAAAGACTAGAAGTAAGAATTGCACATTCTCAATAGATACTTTTTGATTGATTATACATAAATCATAGCCATTTGCAAATATAGAAGTTTGACACGTAATGAAATAAAATATCTGACTTATAAATGAGATTGGAGAATTTTTTTTAAAAAGATTTGGGAGCTATATACTTATAATAATTCTTCATGATATATAATAATAACTTTAAGAGGAAAATATGGAAACAGTTTTGGGACCAGACACAATATAGCTTTGGGTGTATACTTGATAATGAAGCTAAGGGGAATCTGTGATTGAGGGCTTGTGATTACTATTAGAAGAGAAGTTATTTACTCATCTTTTGAGTGGTAACTATCACAACATCTTTCATAGCGAATCAGATTCTAAGTATTGCATCATTAATTAGGTAAGAAATTCTCTCTAACACCACAAAATTATTTAACCTACGTACTCAATAATATCGGGTCATCATTTTGTTTTAAATTAAAGAGAATTAAAAAAAAATCTTGAGAGAGACAGAGAGAGAGAGAAGAAGTGATTTTAGTTAAATTTAACATCTGAGTTAATTATTAAAAGAAAATGAGGAAGTTATTGGAAGAATTTAAGATAAACACATACTTTTTTCATTAAAAAATGTAAAATATTTTTAACTAAATCTCATCCCATAAAGTCGTTACTTGTCTTCAAACTAACCATATATTTTTATATTTATCTTTATTTAATAGGTTTTTAACTCTAAAATAAATATAAAGTGATTTAAAAGGTAATAGTTATTCCTTAAAAGACTAAAAATACCTTATATTTTTTAATATTCAGCCCCTTAAAAAATGACTTATATTTTTTAATGGAGGAAATATGTTAAAAAAATATTATTTTATAATAATCTATTTAGAATAATTTATTAAAAAAGCTATGATATAATAAATAATAATATGGATTCTTTCATATAGTAGAAAGTATAATAAATAATACTTTTTAGCAGATATATTGTAGCCCCAACAACTTTAATTTCCTTGTTGTTCATTTGTTATTTTATTCAAGTTTGTAATTAAGAGTTATTTTTATTTAATTTTCTTAAGACTTTCTTTAGTTTAAAATAGAAATTTTATTTTATTTTTAAAATGAAAAATAATATTTAAGACATAAGTCAGTTTAAATCTCTTAAAAAAAATAACAATACAATGATGCTTATCTCTAGATAGAATGTGTGTGTGTGTGACATAACTTATTCATTTTCTCAACACCAAATTAAAGAATCCATACACCAAAGATAAAAATTACAATATAACACACAACCTCCTCCTGTTCCTATTATAAAATATCTCTAATTACCTCATTGAAATTAAAAAAAATGTGGTTAATTGTTAATTTTGTCTAAAAATAAAATAAATTTTTAATTTTATTCCTATTTAAATGAAAAAATAAATTTAAATTCACATTATGTCTTATAGTTAATGAGTTTAAATATAGGTAATATTGAAAAAACATAATTAATAGTATATCAAGTGCCTTATACAGGGACCAAACAATCCTTCTAAAAAATGTCTTTTAATAAGAACCAAAGGAAGTGTATATATATATATATGTATATAGACCAGGTTCATGAAGATTTAAGGAGAAATGAGAGAAATTAAGAAAAGGAAGTGATGTTGGTGTGGATTAAGTCAAGCTAATCAAATTTGAATACGTTGTGTGAGGTTTGTGTGTGTTACAACTTATGGATGGGAATGAACACCCAGGTATTCTGCTATGGGATATCCCATATGATGATTCAGGTTGAAATTAATTAATCATCGATCAGTCAAAGTCAATTATGATACAATTAAAATTAATAATTGTCAATTACTACTACTTTGTTATGTTTTCCGTGTTGAATCCTAATGAATAAACATTAATTAAGCCATGATTTTCAAGTTTTAATTTGGTTCTTCCATATGGAGTTTATATATATTTGGACTTCTCTCCTGTTTTGCACGATCACGAATTTTTTCATTGTGCATGTATCTTACAAGTGCATGCATGCCCTATTGACAGTAATAATTATTAAAATATTTATTAAATTAATACGGTGATGAATCTTACTAAATTTAAAATAAACAAATTTAAAAGTGTGTAAATATATCACTCATTATATTCTGTCTTAGTTGGATCTACTTCTCAACACAATTCTACATAATCTAAATAAGGAAATTATTAGCTTTCGTCAAATGGCTAACAAAATTAAAAGAAGGAGATTAATTCTGTTTCAAAATTATGAAGTGCAAATATTATTATTTAGTTCTGAAGAACAGTTATAATATTTTTTTTATGACAATTTTTTGCATCATTTTATTTGTCTGATGAAATTTAATTTTATTCTCAATATAAGAAATAATGATGTTAAAAAAATATATTTGAAACTTGAAAATATTAAGATATAGGCGTAGTATTGTATAGGCCGCGTGAAATAGTCGGAAGGACATGGTATATATATGTTAATATACACTCACATAGCATTTAAGTATAATAAATTAACGGCTCTATGTTTAGTATTTTTCAGAGTAAGTTTGATTAGAGGGGCAATATGTTCATCACCTTAATTAAATTTAGGGACAAAAAATATTTTTAAATTACTTCATCTATTGATTTGGTTCATAAAATTTAATATTTATCATTTAATTATTAGATCCCTAAAGTTTCATAATCACACATAATTCTAAAAGAAAATTTTAGGAGTTAAATCGATAATGGTAACAAATTTAAGGGATTAGGAATTTTATTGCCCCTTAAATGTAATATTAATTTGTGACCAAAACCCTAATAATTAAGGAAGTCCTCGTCGTCAGCAAATTAAAGTTCCGTCCACGTTAGGAGATTCCCAAGCACGCATGTTCTCCTATTTAGGTAGATTTCGTATTCCTTATTATATTGTTTTATTCTTAGATGGCAATTGAAAAAATCGACAACTTGCTTAATTTTAATAATATAATTAAGCAGCTGAATTAATGTGTTAATCTGTCAGAACATAGCTTTTTAATCACAAATTAAAATTTGAGTTTTGACTATCATGCTTCTCTTTATTGGGAATATTTTTAAAATATCACGACAGAAAGATATGTTGAAGATCGAAAATAAAGTTTTTTTTTGTAAAGGAAAATAAAGTTGGTAAATGATGGCCAAGATGCGGATTTTTTTTTTTTTTTTTTGCCACACAAGATAGAGATGTTACTTTAAAAGAAAGAGAGGACTCGTCTGAATAATATTAACTTTTATTAATTTCATACCATTCGTGAGAGTTTAACAGGAGAGCAATGCAATGTTTTGAATATGAAAAAATGTTTTCTAAAAAAAATTAGGATGTACAAAGGAAAAAAAAAAAGATAGATGCACACAATTTTTTCTTTACCTTTATCTTATAGATAAAAAAAAAAACTTCTACGTTCTTAATTTAAAAAAAAAGTCTAGAACACAATTAATAATTAACTAATTAATGAATGGGTACTTTAATAATGATAGTTGGAATTTTAATTGATCATTTTGTAAAAAGAAATAATAAATAAAGTTAGAGTATAGTTAAAAAAAATTTAATTAATCATGTTTTTCAAAAGAAACATAATTTATAGTCAATGTCCTATATTATGCTCGGAGGGAGGGAGTAATGATAATTATAAAATCAAATTAAACAAAACCCTATACAATTTGGGCAAGTGTTTGATTAGTTCATTGCTCGGTGTGTGTTTTCTATCTCATTGTTATTTATTCCGTTTGTTTTTATTTGTAAAATAAATTATAATTTTTTATTTATGTTTCCATAAGTAAAATCATATTTTTTAATAAATATTTATTATAAAATTTTTAAATTATCTTTTATAATTTTATCATTTATAATTATAAAAAATAATTAATGAACATTTGATTAACAATGAAAGATATTATAGTTTAATTTTTTTTAAATATAATTATTTTAATTAATTAATTTTTGAACTGTATAATATATTTTTTTTTATAAACAGAGATAGAAAGAGTACTTCATTCTGTGTTTTCTTTTTTTAATCTTTTGGCCGGTGTAGTTTTTTTCGTTTTGTTTTGTTTTTTTTTTTTTTTTTTGTCCCAAAAGTCGTGAACTGATCGCAAACGAAAGATCTTTGGAATGACGGAAACAGTACAAGTAGAGGACATGGTGTACTAGCAGCCGTTGGATTTCTCAGATAGACGGTGAGGATAACTTGATTGATGTTGTCCATGCAAAACTCTAATGCCAACACGTGTCCAACATGGACTCGCATCATCCTTGTCCTACTTAGGCAACACG